ATTACTGTGACTAACGTGTGTTTTGTAGAGGCAATTAAGTTAGGTCACGATAATTGAGATCGATTGGGCCATCGTGGATGTCATGCCCCTACGATGGAAATCATTTTGGTTTTTCAAAGGATGGACGACAAGGTTAAGGATGACTAGTTCTAAGTGTTGTTTGGAGTTGAAGAGACACTTAGAGTAGTTTAGGATTTTGTTTTTCCTTTGGCCGTACTATTAAGGGGGGTATGGACGGGTAGCTTGACCTAGATGAGTGTAGTGAGTTAGGTGTGATGCACACTTGTTGAAACTAGCACTAGGTAGCTCCTAAATATGCCTAAGATCCTTTGAAGCAAACTTCATTCACAAATGATTGAGAGTTGGAAGTGAATGGAGGGTCAAAGACTGATCGGACGCTGGCCACAGGGTCCAGTCAGTTCATTTGACTAAAGTGAACTAGTCCGGTTTGACCGGACGCTAGAGAGGTCAAGTGACCGGACGCTGAGGGCCAGCGTCCGATCAACTCCAGTAAGGTTCCAGAGAAGTGAATCAGCGACCAGACGCGTCCGGTCAGTTCTGACCGAACCCTGGGGGTTCAGCGTCCGGTCGAGTACAGTAAGCATCCAGTGAGGGAGAAATGTGACCGGACGCGTCCGGTCAGTGCTAACCGGACCCTGCCAGCGTCTGGTCATCACTTAAACACTGGTCCACGGGTTGAACTGATCGGAGCGTCCGGTCAACATGACCAGAGCGTCCGATCACCCCGCAGAAGCTCATAACGGTTCATTTTTCAGCCGCTGTTATAAATACTTCACCCCTTCGTGTGAGGGGGTACTTTAGCTCATTCCAACAGCTGAGAAACACATTTGTGAGTGCCAAGTAGAGCAAGGTCCTAGTGAGGTGTTTGTGATTTGAGAATCCAAGAGTGAAACCTCATGAGTGAATCAAGAGTAGCAAAGTGTGCATCCATCTTCTCATTAGGCTTCGCATGGTCAAGTGAGAGTTCGTGCTTGTTACTCTTGGTGATCGCCATCACCTAGACGGCTTGGTGGTGATTGGGAGTTCGGTGATCATCCAGAGAGCTTGTGGGTGACCCGACTCAAGATTGTGAGCGGTTGTGGGTGATTCACCGTGATGGAGTGTCGAAGAATCAACCCGTAGAGAGCACTTGATCCTTGCACGGATCAAGGGGGAGCTACAACCTTGCGCGGGTGCTCTAACGAGGACTAGTGGGGAGTGGCGACTCTCCGATACCTCGGCAAAACATCGTCGTGTTTCCTCTCCTCTCATTTACTTTAAGCATTACTTTGAGCAATTCAATTCTTGTCATTTACATTCCTAGAATTGCCATGCTAGAGTAGGATTGGAACTTAGGTTGCAAGTCTATTTGTGTGATAGAACATTTCAAATACTTTCTAGGCACAAGGGGTTAATTGGGCTATCAATAGGATTTAATTATTGCAAGAAAATTTAGAATTAGCCCAATTCACCCCCCCCCTCTTGGGCATCTTGATCCTTTCAGCTGGTCAGGATCCGGTAACTGACCAGACGCTGAACAATGAAGTGACCGGACTCTGGGTGCCAGCGTCCGGTCAACATCAGTAAGGTTCCAGAGAACGTTTTTCTTGACCGGACGTGTTCGGTCAGTGCTGACCGGACACAGGTCAGAGTCCGGTCAGAACTTAATGGCTCTTTCTGACACAGTGGCGGGGATAACTGACCGGTGCGTTCGGTCACCATTACCGAAGCCTCCGGTCACCCTGCAGAGTGATGACTCAGCCTCCAAACGTTATGTTTTGAATGAGGGGGTATAAATACTTACTCCATTCGTCCAAGAGAGGTCTCTTGTCCATTTGTTCAGCTGAGAAACACCCTTGAGAGTGCAAAGGAAAGCAAGAGCCTAGTGAGGTGATTGAGATTTGAGAATTCAAGATTAAGGCCTCATTAGTGCAAGGAGAGTAGCAAGTGTGCATCCACCCTTCTCATTAGGTTTGTCATGGTCCAGTGAGAGTTTGTGCTTGTTACTCTTGGTGGTCGCCATCACCTAGATGGCTTGGTGGTGATTGGGAGTTTGGTGATCATCCGGCGGAGCTTGTAGATGACCCAACTCAAGTTGTGAGCGGTTGTGGGTGATTCACCACGACGGAGTGTCGAAGAATCAGCCCATAGAGAGCACTTGATCCTTGCACGGATCAAGGGGGAGCTACACCCTTATGTGGGTGCTCCAACAAGGACTAGTGGGGAGTGGCGACTCTCTGATACCTCAGCAAAACATCGCCGCATTTCTTTCCCTCTCTTTACTTTGAGCATTTATATTTGAGCAATTCATTTCTTGTCTTTACATTCCTAGGATTGCCATGCTAGAGTAGGATTGAAACTTAGGGTGCTAAACTTTTGTGCGGTAGATCAATAGAATCACATTCTAGGCACAAGGGATGAAGTGGACTAAGTGTAGGACTTAATTATTGCAAAGAATTTAGAATTAGCCCAATTCACCCCCCCCCCTTCTTAGGCATCTTGATCCTTTCACTGAGCACATACTTGCTTATGGGAGCGGGAAGGCTCGTTATGCTCTTGTCGTGGGTTCCGGCTCTTTCTGGACCGACTGATTGGAGGCGGAGAAAAGTGGAGGTCTAAGCACCATACTGATACCGGGTCTCAAGTGTGGGGGCTTGGAGTCCAAGTTTGGACGGGGACCTAGACCCTGTGACAGGTGTGAAATGGGTTGGTCTTGTTTGTGCCTGGGGTACAAACAGGGCATGTGTTTTGGGATACCCAGCTGGGATATATTGGTTCGTGAATCGCTGTTTCCGTGAGATGGTACGACTTGGCTATGGTCTAGCACCATAGTAAGAACTGGAAGATGAAAGATGGTGAAATGGTTCTAATTGCTTAACCCTTGCTTGAAAGTAGAACAGGTGCTTACCTAGAATGGTTAGCTAATGAAGTAATCATGACTGCTAATTAAACTTGATCTTAAGGACGCACTTCTAGTAATGCTTTTCACAAACAAAAAGAAAATAGCAAACCCATATTGCCTATCATATCCTTGAGAGTCGGGAAACTATTCCCAGTAGTCGGGTAAGTCTTGCGAGTACATTGTGTACTCAGGGTTTATTTTACCCTGTTGCAGGTGCAGCTTGAGGAGTAACTCTTATGTGGAGGATTCTTCTGGTGGGCACAGACGAATCCTTATATCATTTCCACTAGATGTTTATTTTCGTTCCGCTGTTTAATTATCTCACTCTGAACTCTGGTATTGTAATAAATAATTTCTCAGAACTCTTGTTGTATAAAATTGACTAAGTATTGTAAGCTCGTACTCATTATTGGATTCTGGATGTAAAACGTGGATTGTTTTGAGGTCTCCCTTAGGGTGTGCTCAACAGAACTGTCCGGTGTAGCTAACTTTCGGGGTGCTTAGTGTCTAGTGAAAGATGAGTGCCTCCGAAAGCATGTTATTTCGAGCAGCTTCTGCCACAAATATGCAATACATAGATAATAGAAAAATGAGTCTAGCGTTATATATTTACAATAAAGCGCATGTATTAGTGTAATACGGAATTTCGGTTACATCTACACACTATAATAATGTGTAGATGTAAGAAAGTTTATAAATTATGATACAAAATCTTTAATGAGACTGGCCTCACAAAACATGTATGGCACTCATGCTATTCTATGAACACCTTCAAAAGAGGACTAAACCGACATATCATGAGATTAATAAAGTCACTATAGACCAGAAGTGAATCCAAGTAATATTGAGTACTCCCGTCCTGGAATAGAGTGTGTTCTGGCTTTTGAGAGGTGTCCCCAAATATAGTGCATTTGGGGAACAAGAAGATAAAGTTTACTTAAATAAAAAATACGTGATCTGCTGCTTCCTTTTTCATTTATTCTCCCTTCTACTTATCCCTCATCCCTCCCCACGAGAACTCCGCCGCTTACGTTCTTCTCCCCACCGCTCTCGTTCTCTTCTCCCCACCGAGAAAACTCACAGATCCAGGCGGTATTTGAAGCACTGTTCACCTAAACGGCCATTTAGCCCGTTTAAACACCATGTAAACGCTACACAGTGGTACGTTGTCTCCGTTTAATCATCCATTTATCCCGTTAAATTAGCCGTTTAGCCCGTTTAATGGACTGTTTTGCCCGAATAATGGCTAAACGGCAGGTGACCGACTGTTCACCGTTTAGTGTTTAGGAAAACATTGATTTGAAGGAGATGCGCCGCCCACAGTATCGTCGCCGCTCAAGCCCTCTCCACCTTTGTTGATGGGCAGTTCCTCCTCAGGCTGCTGGCCGGCAGCATGGAAAGGGCAAGGCGGCACGCGGAACATGGTGGCTGCGGTACCCTGAACCTCGGCCAGCTGTGGAGGGTGTCGATTTTGCCCTTGATTCGAAAGATGGGAGTGGTGATGAGATCTTGGAATTTGTCCCTGACTCCAACGACGAAGGAGGTGGAGCCGAATTGACTTCCCAAGCGAGCGACATCGAATTTGTTCCTGACTCGGAGGCACAGGAGACTGCGCCCCTGGAGGAGATGAGGCCCAGGTTTGTTAGATTTGTTGATCAGATACTCTAATAATGTTTCATGTATGCATCCCTACCTCCTTTCCCTCTAATGTCTATGAGTTTTGTAGGAATTGTCAGGCATCTGAACTTGTAGACGAGCACAGGACTAGCAAGATTCAAGTGAAGGAGGCACTAGCAACAACCAAGAAATTAAGTGGTGCAGAAAACTCAATATCAGACGCTGAGGCAGATGATGAGACAAAGGCAAACATAGAACACAAGCTGGAAGATGAGGCAAAAGATGAGAGGTTAAATGATTTGGTAAATAAAATGCTTAGTCTGATGATACCTCTGTATGCAAAAAATATGAATGACACAAAAAAAAGGATTACTACTCAAATGAATAAGTAGTAATAGTGCACTAGTACGCTTTACATATCCAGGAGTACTTTTGATTATTCAATAAACATAAACAAAGAGTACTAGTGCATGATAAACTACTACTCATCAATATGGATAATGTTATACATATCTTTGAATTTTGGATCAGTATGAACTGTTTGCTCATCTATCATAGTCGAACAAAACCGAAGCCGTTCTCTTTTATTTTGTTCCCTCAAATAAGGCTTAAGGGTACTAGAGTGACGGCGAACCAGACCTTCCTTGAAGACCTTGTGCATCTTTGTTTTTGAAACATTCAGAGCTTCTGCAAGAGATCTAATGGTAGTCCTTTGGTTCAAAGGAACATTTGTAACCTGCGACAAATCAATATCAACTCTTTTCCGTCCATAATTTTTTTGCTTTCTTTGAAATAAGATCTCCTGTAGTGCCTGCTGCTCTGCACCTCTTTACTTTTTTCCAGATGTTCTGAACAGTTCTTCTCTTAACACATATCTTTGGATGCTGCTATGCAAATCTTCGACAGCATGAACACTTTCGGCGGCAGGTTCTTCATCTTCATCTACGTGATCATCAAGGGGGAAAATGGTGAGTATCTATTGATTAGAGTACAGTTACAACTACAAAATAAAATTTACCTAGATGCAAATTAAGATCAATTGATGAATGAACAACAGGCTCACGGTCTTCTACTTCATGGATTTGGTCTTGCATGGCCTGCACAACTTCTCCATGGATACCAGCACCTTCTCCATCTTCAATGGTGGCACATAGATTTAGATCATGTATTGCATCTTCATCTTCTTCACTAGGCGTTGCGTTGAGATCAATTGGCATGCCTATTTTTTTGTGGTTTTTGAATGATTTGATAATTTTGGATTACGGATTGTTGGCCTCTTCTTATAGGAATGGAGGAGCGGCTCTAGTGTTTGGGAGGGAAAAAGATATAGATGGAGGCAAGATGAAATTTTCTGGCCACCTCATTTTGGATGTAGCGTTAGGAGGTGGAGGCAAGCGTAAAAAATGTGGCTTCAATTTTTTTGTTTTTGCTCCGTAGAGCTCCTTCTTTGTATTTTACTGTAAAAAATTGCTTTTGGCGCCAACATTGCTTGGCGGGCTATTGTACGGGAGATGAAAGTAATTGAGTGCTTACCATATTTTCTATAAGGAAACTTAGATTCCACCCTTTAATCATGCGGAATAGGACCAGATTTCAATAGATTAGGAAGTTAAGTGAGAGGTACATGCATCTATTGCTCTCTCTCTTATTTTGTCTGAGAATAGCCACAATGTATTGTATTCCAGGACGGAGGGAGTAAGAGCACAAGTCACCACTCAAAGATCGGTAACAATAGTCGCTAACCATTTTTGTACAAGGCCTTCACACACCAATACTTAGTGTGTGCTCGATCATTTTTTTCTCTTGGAGCCCATCTCTGTCACGTGCGTCTCACAATTAATGGACACACTACTTACCACTAAAAAATGGCGTTGTTAAATCTTAAATAAATCTAAAAAAAGATAAGTATAGGTGTCAAGTCAAGATTTTAAGCTCAAGTGGGCAAGCCCCATTTTCACCATAAGAAACGTAACCACACACAATATACATGATATATTGTTCCATAAAAGAAAACAATTAAAGCTTGTGGTCCAAACATATAACTACCTTTGTAGAGAAGGTTTACATGCATCGATGATTTTCCCCCCTCATTTTGGATAAAGACATCGGATGATGTTGAGTTCAGCAGGGGCCCCCAATATTTGAGAAAACAAAGAGGTCGGTCCACAAATTTAAAGTGGACGTGTCACCTGTTCACTGCTCTCGTCCATCGAAACCATTATTAATTAACTTCCTTGCAAAAATAAATAATCAAGGGATTACTGATTTACGCACGTTAGCTAAAAAGAATGTGTCAAGAAAGCGACGAGTCAAGAGACCCTTAAAAAACATAATGCCCCAAGCGGATGCATCTACTGCGTATATGTATATCCATATATATGTATACCCTTTGCCAACGTTTTTCTTATTTTCATTTTATTATAATTATAAAAAAACTGCTCTAGGTAATGACAAGCGTTTGATGACTTGATCACCAGTTGCCTAAGGTCCCGTTCGCTGGTCTAAAACTTGACTAAAAATACTGTTCTAACTGAATTGTTGTGAGAAAAAAATATTGTTGGTCTGATTTAATGAACAGTGCAATGGGAGGAGAACCAGCCGGATGAACTTTTCAGTTCAGAGCAGCGAACACCTCCTAACGGTGGAAACGGCGCGTCGTGATCGCATCAGCCATGGGACTAGGGCCATTCGGTGGAATCGGCGCCATCGAAAACACTGTTTATTAATGTAGCATTTTATTTATATTTGGTAATAATTGTTTAATCGTTGACTAATTAGGCTCAAAACATTCGTCTCGCAAAGTACAATCAAACTGTGCAATTAGTTTTTGATTTTGTCAACATTTAGTACTCTATGCATGTACCGTAAGTTTGATATGATGGGAAATCTTCTTTTTGTATAGTGCCAAAGTTTGAAATTTAGGGTGAACTAAGGCCCTGTTTGGTTACCCCTCCTAAAAGCTTTAGGAGCTAAAATCTGGATAGAATCTGTCTAAAGAACCAAACATCCCCTCCTAAAACCTCCTAAAAATTTTAGGAGGCTGGTTTTTCTTTAGGAGCTCCACCCCTCCTAAAACCTCCTAAAGTTCTTCATGGACCCTCACTACCCCTCATTTATTACCCCCTCCCCCTCTCTCTCTCCTAAAGAAGGATAAAAGTGTCTTTGTTCAACAACATTTATTGCTTTTAGTTAGTTTTAGAAGGTACAACCAAACAATCTTTTAGAATGTTTTAAAAGGCTATCTAAAACTTTTAGGAACTAAAGTTTTAGGAGCTCGGAACCAAACAGGGCCTAAACATGGTTTGCCGCCTTCTTGCTGTCGCTGCAACTTGTACGACCGTGGCAAAGATCCTTCCAGCACTGTTGGATATTCTGCTGCAGCGCCGAGTTTGGTAGGGAAAGTACTAAAACTCAAAAAAAAAAGGCGTCACCCATCCACCGCCTAGTACTATTCACTATTCAGGTTTCTTGGCACTCCAACCCAGGAATCCAGTCGCAAGCGAGCTACTGACAGCACAGCACAATCAGATTTGGAGCTAGGCCTCGTTTAGATTACAAATTTTTACAATCTCGACATTGTAGTATGTTTTGTTTGTATTTGACAAACTTTGTCCGATCATGGACTAACTAGGCTCAAAAGATTCATCTCGTAATTTACAACCAAACTATGTAATTAGTTATTTTTTTTATCTACATTTAATGCTCCATGTATGCATCCAAAAATTGATGTGATGGAAAAAGAGTGAAAAAACTTGGAATTTGGAGGTGATCTAAACAAGGCCTATTGTCGGATAGACCTCGGCAAATGTCATTTTCATGCAATTTTCTTGGTGTCGTATTTGCATCGTATAAACTCGCTCCGTATCTATTTGATTACACACATGTCATCATTGACCTTTGCGCTCCGAGTAGTGTGGATATGTTTTTTTTCTTACTAGTATTAGTGTAAATATGCATTTATTGACTATTTGTATCTTTAATAATAAACATGGCGTTATTAAACCCACCACGAAGCATACCTTGATAGTTCATTATTTGATGTTGTAGAGCTACTTGTGGCATTAGCTATTCAATAACCTCGTAAATAAATAAATAAATAAATGGATGAATAGACAAGCAAGGGTAACTACGTGGATAAGCAATCTCTCCACACTATGACCCTGTTCGTTTCGCTGAAATTTAGCTTACGCTGATTTGTTGTGAGAAAAAACAATATTCGTTCGCTAAAAAGTACCGCTAAGACTGTCTCCAACAGAAGACACATTGCGGAACCCAAACCCAAAATAAGTCTCCAACATAATACATATAGCCTCCAATAGAGTACCTATATGGAACATCAATTTTAGGTGTCAGGAGAGGCATAATCCAAATCTGAGTATCCTCTCTTCTGAAGACCCATTTGCAGAAAGGGTTGTCTTTTTGGTCTTGTTGTTGGAGAAAATCATAAATAGGTATTGAACCATTTACCTGTAGCGCTATCAAAGAACGAATGGGTCTTGTTTTTTAGATCGTGGTTGTTGAAGACAGTCTAAAGTAGTGCTGCAGATAACATGCCCTATTTTTTATATAAAATTCTCGGGTACCTCAAACAAAGGAAGAGCACTTTTTAATCCAATGTATAAACCTCTTAGCTCTATTAATTTTTTTTTTTGCAAAAACTTCTGCATTTATATGATGTTTAAATGTACATAAAAAATTATAAAAACATGCTCGTACTACGGAGTATTTCAACAGCTATACGATCCAAAAACTAACACGCTCAGAAACCCTCGGAAAAGTCTCCATCAACCCCTCCCATTGCTGAAAATCCCACTGCTACTCCAATCCCTGAACCCCACAGAAGAAAACTCTCGACCCCCAAAAAGTCCTCAGCTCCCCACCTCCGCCTTTGACCTCGCCGGCGCCCGCCGGCCCAAATCCGCCGCCGACGATGCCTCTGCCTCAGGCGCACTAGCCCCACACCTCCGCTCCCCACGATGGCGTCCGAGCGCCCTCTCCTCGTCGCCACAACCCCGGGCGCCTCCACCCCCGACGACGCCCCCTCGCCGCACCCCCCAGCGGCGTCATTGCTCCCGCCGGCCCAGTCGGAGCCTCCTCTCCGCGCGGACCGTCTCGCTTTCTCCGTCGAGGTCCCCGACCCATTCCGCCCCCCCTACCGCCGTGGCGACGGACCCGCCGCCGACCCATCCGCGTCGTCGCAGCAGCGGGAGCGCGAGGGCGGGGACGACGAGTCCCGAGGGGTCATCGTGGGAGAGCCCTCACCGGAGTTCGCCGGGAACGCCATCCGAACGGCGAAGTACTCGTTGCTCACCTTCCTACCACGGAACCTCTTCGAGCAGTTCCGGCGGCTGTCGTACGTCTACTTCCTCGCCATCACCGTGCTCAACCAGCTGCCCCAGGTCGCTGTGTTCGGCCGTGGCGCGTCCGTGCTACCGCTCGCCTTCGTGCTCTTCGTCACCGCCGTCAAGGACGCCTACGAGGATTTCCGCCGCCATCGCTCGGACCGCCAGGAGAACAACCGCCTTGCCTCCGTGCTCGCACTGGGCACCGCTGGCGAGTTCCAGCCCAAGAGATGGAAGCACATACGCGTCGGGGACGTGGTGCGCGTCGCGTCCAATGAGACACTGCCGGCCGACATGGTGCTGCTTGCTACCAGCGACCCCACCGGCGTTGCGCACGTGCAGACTGTGAATCTCGATGGGGAGACCAATCTTAAGACGAGGTATGCCAAGCAGGAGACACAGGTCAGGTTCTCCCAGAATGCTGGTGTCGGTGGCATCCTGCATTGCGAGCGGCCCAACAGGAACATTTACGGCTTCCAGGCAAATCTGGAGATTGATGGCAAGCGTGTCTCGCTTGGGCCATCCAACATTGTGCTTCGCGGTTGTGAACTCAAGAACACCACATGGGCAATAGGGGTTGTGGTATATGCTGGGAAGGAGACCAAGGTGATGCTAAATAGCTCAGGGGCGCCGTCGAAGCGGAGTCGCTTGGAAACACAGTTAAATCGGGAGACTGTCATATTATCCTTTATGCTTATTGGGATGTGCACAACTGCATCCGTGCTTGCTGGGATTTGGCTGCTGAATCACCGGAGGGAGCTGGAGTTCACCCAATTCTTCAGAGAGAAGGATTACACGACTGGGAAAAACTACAATTATTATGGTGTTGGGATGCAGATATTCATCACATTCCTTATGGCAGTGATAGTGTATCA